TGCGAGAGAGGTCACTATTAACAAGACTGTGAGACTAACCATGCTGATTCTGAGAGCAATAAAGGGAATGTAAATGACTAGTACCATTATTAGTTAATGTTAGTTGATTCCTATTGCTAAATAAAGTACTGGGACTTGTATGCTTAGAAAGGGGTATTGAGCCCAATTGTATCTTCCAACCTGGTTTTGCCATACTTTCTCTCATCACTAGCAGAGAACAGAGAAAAATATAGCATGTTTATGTCCATAGTTATTTGTACAGATCTGTGAAGATGTCTTTTTGAAAAAGGAGTCATCTTCGGATAAGATCAAGTTAAGGCAAATTGAATTTTTATTTGCTTTGACATAGATTGGAATCAGTGATGTGATATTTTTTTCCCTCCGTGTGTAGAGGGGAGAAAGAAAATCATCTTGATAAATCTCCTTGACTTTCCTCAAGGTGTTCAGTATCTTTCTCTTTGGAAAAAGCAACAGGGCATTTTGACACGGCTTTGACCCTCAGGTTGATAAACTTATGCTTGTAGCCTAATGCTACGAAGATTTTGACGGGGACAAATATTCAGTTCCTATATTCATCAGTTTATTCATTCGACAATCAATGCTTAGATCTGGGAACACAACAAAGTCGCTGTTCTCGTAGAGTTTACATTCTAGCAGGAGAGACACAGACAATAAAAATTCAACATATAGTTAAGTTGGGGGATAATTTGGTATGCTATGGAGAAAAAGCAGGGACTTGGAATAGGAAGCGTGCAAGAGGGTATGATTTAAAAGACTTTTAGGGAAGTCTTCTCTGATAAAGGGACATTTGGCAGAGACCTGAAGAAAGTGAGAGACTGAGTCATGTGGCTGTGTGAGGGGAAGAGTTTTCCAGGTAGTGGCCATAGGCCCTGAGGTTTGAGGGTACATGGCAGGCTTGAGGAAGAATCAGAAAGCCAGTGTGGCTGAAGTAAAGTGCTAAAGGGAGAATGGAAGGCAAGGGGTGAGTGAAGAACCCTGGACTGATCACACATAGCCTGTGGACCACTGTGAGGATCTGGCTCTTATCTGTAGTCAGATGGGAAGATGTTGAAGCCTTTCAAGCAGACGATACTATGATTTAACTTCAACACGGGAACAGCCACTGGTGTTGGATACAGAATAGAATGTGTGTGTGGGAGCAGGGGAGACAGAAGCAAAAGCTCAATGAATGGTGAACGTATTGCTATAATCTGATGGTGGGGGGTAACTTGCCCAGAGTGGTAGCAGTGGGAATAATAATTGCACTCTAGATACAGTTTGAAGGTAGAAGCAATGGGATTTTCTGTTCCGTGTGAAGGGAAGAAAAGATTCAAAGAGGATTCCAAAAATTTTCTTCTGAGCAAGTGGAAGAATCGAATTTCCATTTCCATACATAGGGGAAAATAGGAGAGGAGAACATTTTGTGTGGATATTCAGAAATTCGATTTTGAACATGTTGTGTGAAGTGCCTATAAGACATTTAAGTGGAAATGTTATATAGGTAGTTGAATTTGTAAGTTTGGCGATTAGGGGAAAAATCCAGGTTGGGGATTAGAATTTGTGAACTCTCTAACTAAATATGGTTAGTTTCTAAGGTCTTTTTTTTTTTTTTAAAGATTTTATTTATTTATTTGAGAGAAAGAATGAGAGATAGAAAGCACGAGAGGGAAGAGGGTCAGAGGGAGAAGCAGACTCCCTGCCGGGCAGGAAGCCCGATGTGGGACTCGATCCCGGGACTCCAGGATCATGACCTGAGCCGAAGGCAGTCGCCCAACCAACTGAGCCACCCAGGCGCCCCCAGTTTCTAAGGTCTTGAGATGAGGTTGGAGTCATTTAAGAAGTGTAAGTGTAGATAAAGAAGAGATTTACAGTTGAGCCATGGACCACTCCAACATTTAAAGATTTAGAAGACAATTAGGAGCCAGCAAAGGAGATTGAAAAATTCTCTATCTATAAAGTAGGGAGAATTACACATACACACACACACACACACACACACACACACTCCTTTTCTGGTAAACTTGGGTTAAGAAGTAGGAGACATCAGTCTTCTAGAAAGGATGATGCCAAGTTTTTGTGATGTGACAATCAAGAAACCCAAGGAGAAAGGGGCTCTGATAAGGGGACTAGCCCTTCTGCCCAATCTTGCTCAGACCAACAAATGACTTTAGAATTTGGGGTGAAGATAAAGTGGATGATATGAAGTATGATAATGGGGAAAAGATGGCAACATGGTTGCAAAAGGAGATAAAACTCCATAAGTATCCTTGTGACTATTAATACAATACCTGCTTTTTGAAAAAAATTAGTAACTATAAGTAAATAAAGAGAATAAAATGCACCAATAATATACACTAAGAGAACTTCTAACATTTTGGTATACTTTTTTTCTAGTTTTTTCATATACACATATGTATAAAAATTAGGATTATATTGTATAGACATTATTATAGTCTTTTTAACTTGATATAATAGCAAGACTATTTTTGGAAGATTCATTTGTTATCGTCTTTTGGTAAGAGGAGAAAGCTGATCAAAGAGAAGATTGTGTTAGCTTGAGAAATGTCTGGTCCAATAAAGTAGAGTATGAGTGTGTGTGTGTGTGTGTGTGTATGAGAGAGACAGAGAATTAGGGTGATTGTGGACTTGGTGAATTGTGTCTTGGTGACTGATACCTTGGCTGTGTTACCTGTAGGGACTGAGAAAACAAGGCTGACTAAAGCTTTGCTTATTTTTTATGTCTGGGTGGATTCTGGACTTGTTTTCTGGGTAGCTGGAGAATTGTTGGTTTTTCATTACTAGATGACAGCACAAACTGAAAGGGAAAAATATGTGAAAATGCTTTGGTTGATATCTACCAATGTAAAGAGGTAATGAAATTAATTTGTGACACAAAGTAGGTTGTTTTGACTAAATTACTTAGTTTGGTTTTCCCCACATCTTGCAAAGAAAGTAAATTCCATATTTCCCCTATGTTTTTCATATTGTGGGTCCAGTCTAGACACATATACCTTGAAGATTTAATATGGGAATTTTTCCATAAATCTGTGAAAATTGTGAAAAGTCAGTTTATCAGTAAGGTGTTATGAGCATGATGACAGCAAAATGATTTTTCCTATTGACCACTTTTATGGCACAGACTGATTCTAAAATAAATGCTTGATAAGATTAGATTCAGAAGATATTGGCAAGACGAGAGCCAGTGAAAATCTCTTTCAAATAAATATAATTAATGAAAACAATAGAAATAATATTCAGTTGTAAACTTCTGACAGCAGTATGTAAAGTGTGTGTGTGTGTGTGTATTTCTGTTTGTGTATCACAAGCTCTCTTGTTATGTATGGGTTCTTGATTGGTGAACACAATTGGCTAGAGGATGGGACTTTACAAGGTCAAGGTCACACATTCCACTGGCCACATAGAGGCAGAAAACTATGTCACAGTCATCAATTGCATCAGAAATTTTATACAGTTGTTTCATGGCCATGTATTCTTGGTCACAAAACAACAAGACAAGAGAGTTGGGCTGGCTCAATAATATTAATCACACTATTAGGAAAAATAGGCATGCGACTTTAAGCATAGATGCCATACCCTACAGGGCAATGATTTCAACTTTGTGAATGGCAGTATATACACAGACGCTCACAAATGTACAAACTCAACTGCATTAGACGAGAGAAAAAGCCCTACTTAGCCTTAACTCCAATATTAGCTGAAAACAAGCATACCATAACTGTCTCTCACTTTTTTCCTAGTTAATACTGCGTTAATATCAAAGTTTTAGAAGAATATTAACATTCTTTTATAAATATACCATTATTCTTTGTATCTTTATTATTCATCATAATCAAATCAGTGCATCAGAATCTAGGGTTTTTCAAAATCGAAAGCAACATCTTTACATTTTTGGAGTTTGGGAAGTCCATCGGGGGAAATAGTGCAACAGCACCGAGAAATGCACTCACTACATTTCTGCCACTTCACATTGAGGGTCATATGCAATGACAAACGCTGAAACTTGCACCATAGATCAAGTTGGGGAAACATTAGTTTCTGACCATTGCCTTTTTGCTTTAAAAATCTCACCCTATGATTTCCCGACATTGCTTTTTCTGATCGAGCTATACCAATCCCATAATAAAGTACAAAACAGTGTAAGTTCCTCTGCAAACCCACTCATGATCTGCTCGACTTTGGAACCCAACTGCCCTCTCATCTTTCAAGGAGAATTGTGCTTTTATGGTATTCGTTAAAAAAAGGAGAAGAAAAGAAAAAGGTACAACGTCAAGTCCATAACCTCTAACGAATCACTATTTCCATCTGCAGCCTGGCAGTAGCCTAAAAGCAGGAACAGGAAGAGAAAGCCCCTTCTTTTAATCTAAAACTCTTGCAAAACCATTAACACAAACAGTGTGGATCAGCCTTTCAATATGCAAAATGGACGAAGGTACCCAATTTTCTTTGCTAATAAATTAAATCTGAAGTAGTTCTCTATCGGGGACATCGTTGTAATCTTTCAGTTTCCCCCTTTAAAAATTAGACGCTGGTTATCAAAGCACGTTGGCCATGGGAATAAAATATTTATCTAACAGGTTTCAAGTCTCAACGACCACTTCCTTTTCTTGATTTTTCTTAGACCTTTATGCCTCCCACCTACCACAGTCTTCCCTCAACCCTACCGACAGCCCAGCTGACACCACAGATAAGAAGCGAACTGTTTTTTCCGTGACCTCTAAGCATTCTACTCCAAGGGAAAAGCAACGTGGAATGCACACTCAGCAGGCTACGAGCCCAGAGCCAGTTTGTCCTCGAGGCATTTCTGCCATAAAATCTAATACTATTCACTGTGTTTTGCTCTAAGCTGATCCGTCCGCTACTCCCCTCTCTCCCCTTCCTGCTCTCACTCCGCACCTGGCTGCAATTCTTGACCCACAGGCACACAGCAAACAAAAGCCCGAAACAGCAACAGATTCCTTTGTTTTACATGCAAATCCTACCTCCGGTAGTTGTCACATCTTCCTCAAAAGCCACGCTTAATTTTTAATGACAGCGATCCAGTGCAGTCCTCCAAAGAGCCACCGGTAATCATCATTGCCTCGCGTGCCTAAAGCCTTTCTGGACCATTAATGTCACAACCCTTGCTAACTCATAGCTTTAATACTCTCTGCTCAAAATGTCTGAAAGAGTTTGGGAGGACAATAGGAGTGACAGGCACGCTAGACAGCCATGCTTGAAATTAGTTATCAGAAGCTCCGTGAAAGCTGCTTCATACTGTTTTTTAAAGCGTGCAGGAGGTAGGATTTATTAGCCTATGATAGGCATGCTGTTTCTGTTTTTATTAAATACTGTAATAGGCTGTCTGTTAGCAATGCTGTGATAGGTCCAACATCACTTCCCACTGCTTTCGAATTCTCATATTAAAAAGGGAGAGAGGGCTCAGACTTCCTTAGGAGACCGAGGCGGACACCACCCTGCCTACTGGATCGGATCCAGATCCTCTATAACTACAGGGGAAAGAATTCCTTGTGCAAATGCTATTTTTACGTGGAAAGTGAAGTTGGGAATAAACACTTTAGGGTTCCCCAGACAATTCTCTCACTCCTAGCAAGGGACTCCTGCTCTCCCCAGTTACAAAAAATAAGTGTTCTCTGGAGTTAGAAAAGAGAATCAGTCTCCGTAGGAAAATGTTCCTCATCATTACTGAGGAAGGATGCAGGGTATGCCTAGATGCAAAATCTCAAATGATGTATCAAATGGGCTGAATGGATCAATGGGCACATTCATTATTTCAGGCTAACTTACAGAGCTTTGTGTTCCAGTTTGAAGCAATCGTGTGTTCACTGCTGTCAAAGTGCACAGAACGAAGGGTGGGTGGAGGGGGAGGGGGTGATCCATGCTGGGCAGTCATGGTCATGGAAGATGGAAGAAGGATTTCTTACCATTGGTCAGAGATGAGGCTGGAAGTGCTACTCAGAAAAGTTGCTAAGGACTTTTCCAAACAGGGAAACAGAAAAAGTTCTTGGTAGTTCACAGTAACAGAGAGAATGTGTTCTGCTTCAACTACCCAGATTTTGTCCTTTTTTCCCCCTACTGTTCGTTCTCTCCTCCTGTTATCCCAGGAGCAATAGTTATGTAGTAGTTGCTATGGAAACTGAGTGGTCGCTCCAGCCGAGGGGCTGAGGAAGGGCAGCAGATGGAATGCGGACAGAAATGTACTATGACTGGCCTATAGCATTGAAAATAGGGAGTGATTAATGAACACACAAAAACTACTACAAAACAAAAGGCTGAAGGAATGATTGTAAATCACCATTATTTAATTACTGGTCGTTCTGTTATCTGGAAGTACTATTATGATCACAGCTTCCATTATTTGATTATATGTAAGAACTGAATATCTGATAAAAGAAAGATACTTTTTTTTCTTTGTTTTCTTGCCTTTTTTTTTTTTCTTTAAACTCCTGGTTGTCAGTTTGAATATGTCTTGATTGTATGTGAATTTTAGTTATCTCTTGACTGGTCACAATTTCTGCTCAGGAATAAAGTGTGATTTAGTGGGAAAATCTCCTTGTATCACAAACTGTAAGCATGTTTCATTCTGAATGAACATCCTTGTAGTGGTTTCTCTGAAGCAAAACCCAAATCACAAAATACTGTAATTTGAATTTCAATAACTATTTCTGCTCCCATTATGTTGGTGGGACAGAGGAGATTTTTTTTTTAATTTTTCACATTTGCAGTTCCTCAAATAGGGGGAAAGAGATTTTTTTTTTTTTTTTGTATTCCAGGTCCAAAACCTTCCACCAGCCTCGTGATCATGCAAAAGAAACTATTTCTTACCAGAGTAATTAAAATTTCACAGTTGTAAGGAGTCTGGGGAATACAAAATTTTCATCTTTAGTGCCTCAGTTTGTAATTGGAGTAACTGACACCACTGAAGGGAGAATACAAAAATTCCAAAATAAAATTGTTGGGAGGCAATTCTTCAAGATTTTATGCAAATCTTTTTCTTAAATAGGCAGGCATATCATCCAAAAATTTGTAATGGAAGAAGGATTATCTCAGGGGGAAAGGATTTATGATATTCTCTTAAAAAATGATGAGAGGGTAGTATTATAATTTGAATATCCCAATTATTTTTTTCAAACATCAGAAAGTATATAATGGCAACATATGACAACCTAAACACCATTAACAACACCATGTATCATTTGTGGGGAGGGAGGGAGAGAGAGAGAGAGGGAGGGAGGGGGGCGGGGGAGAGGGAAAAAGAGTGCCAGAAAACTCCCCAATTGAGTATTTCCTTCCAATTCTATGTATGGTTAATTCAGGAAGTAGCTGCTGCTCCTACAGGAGACAAATAGACAAGATTTGGATCCTGGGATGGAGGGAGAGGGCTGGTCTGAGGGCAGAGATGGTTAGTGCTGCTTTAGCGAGGTTCTGTCCCTGGCAGAGCAAAGATTACGTGACCTCTCTGAAGATGAAGGGGGATTACTGAAAGGACCCATCAGAGGGGAGTGGGGTGGGGTGCAAAGTGGTTTGTTGGGGGTCCTGGAGGCAGAGCAGAGAATGAGGAAAGGAAGCTCAAGGGAGGGAAGAAGAGGGAGAGGGATCTATGAGGGAGGAAGGAAGGAATTTCTTAAGATGGCCTGGTGTCAGAAAAGGATAGAGGCTTTGAAATAAGGAGGCTTGATTTCGACCCTCAGTTCTGTGAGCCCATTTGGGGTCTTGTATAAAAGTGGATGCTAAAATGGCTGTTGTAAGACCGCCATGACCATGACAAGGGACGTGAGGAGGGAGGAGTGCGGCTCTTTGTAAACTGAATGCTGAAGGAAGGGCTCGTTCTACCTGAGCAGGGAGAGGGAGGGGCCAGGAGGAGGAGGTAGTACAGCGAGAGGGAGGGGCCAGGAGGAGGAGCTGGTACAGCGGGAAAGAGGAAGAGTGAAGGAAGGAAGGGCAGGAAGAGAAGGAAGGAGGGAGGTGGGACTAGGGAAGAGAGTGGTGGGGGGGGGTATAAGAGAAGCTCCCCTGCGGACTCATAGAAGATAGATTTCTTGTTTGCTTTGTTTTCTGGATCACATGCCAATAACTGCTATTGCATTTTGGTTCTCCCCCTATAAAAAAGTTTCAGATAATAAAGTGTTTGGAGCTCACACCTTTTTCAACAACAGAAAAATTTATGCTGAATTTGTTGAAAAGCCCGTTCTACCATTTCGGAAACAGCTGATCTGAGGATTGAATTTAGTCCTTCTTAGCACTGCTGTTTTGGATGGTTCCCTGGACAATGAAGTTTGGGGCAGCAGAAGGCAGGAACCGAAGTGATATTTCGGAGCTATATTGCCAAACACATTCAGCCGGAGTACCCTGTGAATCTGTAACTTGATAACATTTTCAACAGCATCTGCTCTCTGAATGCACATTAAAAAAAAAACTTGTTCTGGAAAGAATTTGTGTATGTTAACAAATATTAGGTGGAGAACCGGAGCCTGTGCAAGAATGTTGTGATCACATAGGCAGAGACTTTACAGTTTACACACACAGCCTGCAAGTGAAACTGTTTAATGAATGGAACGAAGAATGCATAATTGCATTATGAGTCATCACTATTAAAATAAAAAAATTGATAGATACATAACCAGAAAGTGTAGCTATCTGTTCCAGATACAAGAGCTAATTATATTTTGGAGTATATAATTTATGCTCTGAGTAACTGCTTTTCCTTTGTTGTGACTATTTTTCTAGGAACAACAGGAAAGTTACTGTAGAAACCACTTCCTTCCTGTCATATTCCTGTCAATGCTGAAGCTGACTCACTCTGAAGTCCAAGTTTAGATCCTTGAAAGAGGCACTCTCTAGTATAAACATGAAACTTTGGCCCTAGAAAATAATGACAAGAAAACAGTTGAAGACAATGTGACATTTAAAGCACATGTCTGATTTCCAAGACACAGTGAAACACCGTTCATTGGTCTACCTCACTTTTCATGAAGATTTTCCTTCTGATTAGAGGTTAAAAAAAAGTTCAGTAAGGAAATGATAATTCCTGAAAACTTTACATGTATATATATTCACCCACATCATATTTGATCGTCAAAACAAAGTTACTGGGAGGCAGGGCAGATATGAATAGTCCCATTTCCATCTGGAGCTACTGAGGTTGAGGGAGGTCAAATGATTTCCCTAAGATCACACAGCCTGTAAGTAGGTCTTCTAATGCACAATCCAGGGCAATTTTTACTTCATGAAAGTTTACACCTAGCTCTGAATATTTGTCCTGAAATATTCAGAAATATAAGCACTAGAAGAATCTTTTTAACCTTTATAAGGTATAAATTGGAGCTTACTGCCATTTTTTTTTTTCTTTCTTTCCATCTGGCATATATTCCTGCCGGGTTTTTCACTTTTTTGTTTTGCAGCTCTTTAGGTTTTTAAGGTAGAGTTGGTAAACCTTTTAAAAAGATAAACAATAAATTTTTACAATTCTGCTGACTACAGAATGGACACTGAGTATGATTCCCTGTTAATGGCAGCAGCAGAACAGGACTCTGATCTATGGGCCTGGAAGCACAAACCCACCTAGTAAGGCCATGATTTGGATTGTCCTCCTGAATTCTTTGATTGCATTTCTGTCTGCTTAAAAATTAGAGAAAGGCCTGCAGAAACTCCTAGCCCCACCTTCTGTCAGCACTTAGTCCTTTCTGTAGGTTCCCGTAAATGACCATTCTGTATGCTTGTAGTTGAAATGGGGAAAGGAGGTAGAAGATTATAGAATATATACCTCGATGAATTTATCTGAATTTTCAGAGTAGTAGAAAAATCCTCTCTACCATGCCCCCTCCCAGCAAACACAGATATAGATGCCTGAGCCTCGCCCGGATGCCCATGAGAAAGCACTGGTACCAGCTAGTTTAACCAACTTTCGGAAGCCATCATTCTTTAGCTGAGCCATTGCATTTGGCAGACAGCTTATTGGGGCTGCATTTCCATCCTTCTGAAGCCTGTCAGAGTATTGGACATAAATCAGCTTAAAAATAAAACGTAAAATAGAACATTGACAATTGTTGGAGTTTTATTTCATTTGGATTCTCCTACTTCCCAGGGCCTCGCTGCAATTTTCCTGCTTACTGGAAACAGGTACTATAGCATAGTAACCCTCAGGGCACAGTGGATCCGTGTGTAACCAATGAGAAGATGATCGCTAGTTACCGTTATTATTATTATCATCATTATTATTATGACTTACGGTGCTGCAGTAATGGGTACACCATATAGC